TGAGTTGCAAGCGACTCAATGGCACATAACAACAACATCACTTTCCTTGCCTGCACAACCAACATTCTTGTTACCAGGAGACAGGAAATCAAAACACAATTTGCATTGGGGAAGTCTGCTGTCAGGGCCCTCTCCAGAGAACTGAGGAGCATATGATCCAAGTCTCGGGCTTTGCAGTTACTTGCTATGCATCAGAAAGCTGGACAATGACTACAGATTATAGAAACACAATTGATGGCTTCAGCTGTGATGTTGGAAAAAGAGTATTGAATATACCACGGACTACTAGAACAAACATGTCCATCTGGGAGAAGGTGAAACCAAGCTGCTTCTTGGAGGCAAGGATTCCGAAGCTTTGTCTGACCTACTTTGGGCATGCTGCCAGGATGGACCAGTCCTTGGAGAGGGACATTATGCTTGTAAGAGTGGAGGGACAGTGCAAGGGAGGAAGACCCCCACAAAGATGGATCGAGTCAGTGACTGGGGTAATGAGGGTAGGTGAGTCAGAGACATTGAAGTTGGCTTAGGATAGAGCAGGGTTTTGAGCTATGTGTACATAGTGTCTCTATGAATTGCAAGTGTTTGATGGCGCATAGCAACATTTCCCAACACTGCACTGGTCCTCACTCGGGTGAGTTCCAAGATGTTGAGGAAAGATTACTGATGTAGATACGAATGTACAATGATCAATCATCAATCGTCTAACTGGTACCATCAAGGAAACAGAAGTTTATTTCTACTTCTCATGATGGGGAAGAGATCTTTAGGAAATTAACAATGTCATGATGACACACTTATTGATGATATCATGTTACTATAAAACATAGGGAACTTAATTACTACAAAACTGGTGGCACAGTCAGAAGGAGTTTTGATGCGAGAACAAAGGCAACTTTTTTTATTTAATTGATTCCAGGGAGACAGATGAATTAATATGACACCTGATCGACGGCAGAAGGATGGGCAGTCTCCTCCCTAGTGATGAACTGACTCTGGAAACCTGTCAAAGGGTCAGCTCTAGGTTGATTCCAAATCGCAGCAAAAACAACAACAAAAGAAATACTCTTCCTCACCTTGTCAAAATGAAAAAGTGTGAAACCTTCCAGTGGGTAGGCTTTTTTGCCATAGGTGCCTAGACTTAATCACAGATTTCAAAAACTGACATTGTTTCCTACCCTCAGACCAAGTGGACCCATAAGAACCCTATGCATGAAAGCTCTGAACTCTCCTGTATCCTGAGCCAGTCTCTCTGTCTCCTACACACCTGCATCCATCACCCCAGGCACTGAGTCAATCCATCTCATCCAGGGTCTTCCCATCCTACCCTGTTCCTCCACATTCTCAAGCATAATATCCATCTCTGAAGACTGGGCCCTCCTGGCTACATGTATAAAGCGAGAAGAGCCTCAAAATACTTGCCTCAAATGAGCAGCGGAGGTTCACCAATTACTGGACAGACCTGTTAGTTCTCTTGGAGGTCCACAATACTCTTCTCAAGCAACACAACACAAAGGCAGTCATGACTCTTCTATCATGCTTAATCATCGTCCAGCTCTCAGATGCACAGCAGGAGGCTAAGTAAATCACACTTATGTACACAATACACTGACGTGTGCACATAGAGGAACGCACCTCCAACACAGGTACTCGGTGTCCTCAAGGCATTGAAACTATAAACAGGGGTCTCCAGAGAAGCGGAGGAGGCCGGCCTTGGAGGACGTCATGGGTTAAGGGATAGACCATGTGAACGTGGGAGCAGCACACTTGCACTCAGGACCGGAGACTGTGTGTCACCTTCTAGAGGTTCATCTCAAAGTAAAAAAAAAAAAACAGAAATCCGTGTTCCTTGGATTTGGAGCCAGAGCCAGGAGTTGAGGACCACAGAGATGAGTTCACTAGTCCCATGGCATATTTGGAGGACAAGAGGTGGTACTGAAATGAATTCCTTCTCCACTAAAATCATCAACACTTTAACTCTTGCTTCTATGAGAAGTTTAAAACTTTTATCATCAAATAATAGCTGTATCCTTTGAGGGAGTCGAGCTGCTGATGTGGCACAGGCTACACACTCTCAGCAGTGAACATCTTTCTCGTCCACCTCCTGAGCAGATAATTTGGTGAATACTGTGGTTTTGGAACATGGGCAGGACACTTGCGGATGTTCGGCACACTGTCCTCATCGGGTCGGCTGTGAAGCTACAAGTCCAGAATGCCAAGTGGAACATTAGCATACTCACAATGTAAAGAAGAATAAAAATAGTTCCCTTTGTGCTGGGAAACAATCAAAGATCAGCAATTCATGAAACGATATTTCTTGTACAAGTGAGATCTTTATTAATTGCATGACAAAGATCCATTATAAACCTCAAACTTTGTACAGTGGCATTTCCCGGTTTGTATTTTCTACGACTTTACCACTAATAATCAATGGCGTCATAACTTTAACAAAGAAAGGTTTTCATTTGGAACAGAGAAAACAATCAATGGGTTTGCAAAAGCCCACAGGGACAATACAATGATTAAAGTGTCACCATGGTACAAAAAGAAATCCAGCTTTGACAAACACTTAAAGATTCCAACGTCCATGACAAAATGAAAAAATCTCTGCCAGTCACTCACTTTCCAAGACAGAACAACAGTTTTCCTAAAAGATGTGATCAAGAAGACTAACTGCTTCCTAGTTTCCTTAAACATCTGAGTTGTCAGGTGCCCAGTGAGGGCAGAAGATGGAGTGAACAAACGTAAATTCCTTGCATTCACACAGCTTGTCTACACAGTGAGTATAAACATGTCCAGTGAGGAGGGAGAGATCAACCAGGTCCTACAATGGTCACATTCCTGTGAGGTCTGTGCTGTGTGAATCCATCCTTACATGGCCTGATGCCATCTGACTGTGGAAAAGGTTGCTCCACATTCCTTATATTCAGATGGTCTATCCTGGGGAACTCTTCAGGGAAAATTCATGTCCGAGGGTCGCAAAAAGTTTCCCTCCAATCCTTCCATTCCTAAATTCTCTCTCCTGTGTGGATTCTCACGTGTACTCTCGTGTGCTGTGAAGATGATTTCCCACATTTCTGACATTCCTAAGATTTCTGTGTCAATTCGTGTATGCTTAATGAAGAAACTGATCGATAAATGCGTTCTGCACATTCCCTGACATTCATAAAATCTCTCTCCTGTATGAATTCTTTTATATCCAGTTAGGACGAAGGCATGAAAACGAATTTCCATATCCTGACATTCATTTCTCTCCTGCCATCTTTTCTATGTATAATTAAGGTGGTGGGGTGGGGGGGAATGTTTCCCTACATTCTTTACATTCCTAAGGTCTCTCACCTGTCTGAAAGTTTTTATGCCTTTTGAGAAAACCTAATGGAAAGCTTTCCCACATTCCATACAATGGTAACGTCTGTCTCCCGTGTGAATTCTTCTGTGCTGAGAGACGTGAAAGGCTTGGGTAAAGGTTTTTCCACATTCCTTACATTCATAGGGTCTCTGACTTGTGTGAATTCTTGTAGGAATTCTTCCAGGTGAGGTCACGTGATTGCAAACATTTTTTCCACATTCCTTACTTTCAGAAGGTTTCATTCCCGTATGAATTCTTTTATGTGAAGTTAGCTGACAAGATCATGAAAATGTTTCCCCACACGTTGGACATTCAAATGGTCTCTCTCATGTGTGAATTTTTGCGTGTCGATAGAGGATAGCTGAGTGGGCAACTGTATTCCCACATTCCTTACATTCATAAGGTTTTATTCCTGTGGGAATTCTTCTATGTTGGCTAAGGAAACTGACTGGGCAAAGGTTTTCTGACACTGCCCACGTTCATAAGGTCTCTCTCCGTGTGAATTCTTCTATGTTCATTGAGTTGACTTGATTGGAAAAATGTTTTCCCAAATTCTTAAATCTTTGTAAGGTTTCTCTCCTGTGTGAATTTTTCTATGTAATGCGAGCTGACTTGATTGGGAAAATATTTTCCCACATTCCTGACATTCGTAAGGTCTCTGGTGTGAATTCTTTCGTGTCTTCTTAGTGTGCTAGAGTTGTGAAAGGTTTTCTCACATCCTTGACATTTGTAAGGTCTCTCTCCTGTGTGAATTCTTGTGTGTATAGTGCATTCTCTTGGTTGTGCAAATGCTTTCCCACATTCCTTACATTTGTAAGGTCTCTCCGCTGTGTGAATTCTTCTATGTACACTGAGGTTATCTGATCGTGAGAATCTTTTCCCACATTCCTGACATTCGTAAGGTCTCTCTCCTGTGTGAATTCTTTCATGTCCCTTGAGCCGACCTAACTGGGAAAATGTTTTCCCACAGTCCTGACATTGGTAAGGTCTCTCTCCTGTGTGAATTCTTCTATGTATCTTGAGCTGACCTAACTGGGAAAATGTTTTCTCACAGTCCTGACATTTGTAAGGTCTCTCTCCTGCGTGAATTCTTCGATGTACAGTGAGCTCACGTGATATGGAAAACCTTTCCCCACATTCCTTACATAAATAAGGTCTCTCTCCTGTGTGAATACTTCCGTGTCTCTTCAGTTTGCTAGGATCGCAAGAGGTTTCCTCACATTCTTGACATTCGTTAGGTCTCTCTCCTGTGTGAGTTCTGCTATGTAATATTAGCTTACTTGTTTCGGAAAATGTTTCTCCACATTCCTTATGTGAATAAAGTCTCTCCACTTTGTGAATACTTCTGTGTCTTTTTAGGCTGTTAGGGCCAGCAAAGGCTTTCTCACATTCTTGACATTTGTAAGGTCTCTCTCCTGTGTGAATTCTTCTATGTACTATGAGCTTACATAATTGGGAAAGCCTTTTCCCACATAAATTACATAAATAAGGTGTCTCTCCTGTGTGACTTCTTCTGTGTCTACTGAGGGTGCTAGGGTCGCTAAAGGCTTTCCCACATTCCTGACATTTGTAAGGTCTCTCTCCTGTGTGAATTCTTCTGTGTATAGTGAGGTGACCTGATTGGGAAAATGTTTTCCCACAGTCCTTACATTCATAAGGCTTCTCTCCTGTGTGGATTCTTGTGTGCACAATAAAATGACTAAGGTGATGGAAACTCTTCATACATTCTTTGCATTCATAACATTTCTTCTGTTGACCGCCATGAATTCCTCCACGTCTCATGAGGTGACTGAATTCTAAAACTGCTTTTGTACCTTCCTTGCGTTCGCAGGGTCTCTCTCCTGTGTGAATCTGAGTATGCTTAATGACGTGATTTGATGGAGAAAAGGTTTCCTCACCTTCCTTACACTCAAAAGGCCTCTCTGCTGAGTGAATTTTGGCATGGGCAGTTAAATGGCCGAGCCAACGAAAGCTACACCCACACTGGTGACATTCATAAGGTTTCCCATCTGTGTGTGTTCTTGCATGTCTCCTGAGCCGTGAGAAATAACGAAAAGGTTCTCCACATACCGGACATTTATAAGGCTTCTCTACACCATATGATTGTCTCTTGACGGTGACGTCTGATGGACTCGTAAGGGGGTCAGAAGAAGCAAAGTGTTTCCCATTTCCAGTACAATTGGAAGGCTTATTTACATCATTAAATGCTTCTTGAAAATCTAAAGAGGCAAGATTCCTATAGATATTACCATATTCTGTCGTTTCATGTTCATCTACTCCATGTTTCCAAAAAGAGGAGAAAGTACAGAAATCTTTCCCACCGTTCTTACATGCATGGCTACTTGCACCAGTGTCAGCCCTCAACAGGTTTATGTCTGCATGGTTGCCGGAATAATTTGGAAATCTGATGCACAGTTTGTCAGGGTGATTTTCTTCACTCCCTTCACACAGTTCCTCTGTTGTTACATTTCTGGGAAAAAGAGACAACATATAGTTGTATCTAAGTGTCTTCCTATGCGCCCAAAACACAACACAGCGAAGATGCATCTCAGTTTAACATCTCAGAGTCTTACATTAGCAAATTTACCATATTAACTATATTACTAAATTTACTATATTTACAGTAGCAAAATTACGACTCCTGTAATTGCTTTAGATTCTATGATGAGACTCTCTGAGAGCTGTCTCCAAAGTGAAGACGTTTCTCATGAATATTTTTTCTCATTTTCATGACACTCACCTCCAATGGTCCTCTACAATGTTATGTAGATCTTCTTTGCCACTCGGTTTTAACATTTTTGCTAACATGGAATGCCAGAATTTCAACTCTGTACTTTCAGGGGATAATGGTTCTCTGTCATTGACAATGTCAAGGCCTGCCAGAAAAAGAAAAAGAATTTTGACAACATAAACTAGAGAAGAAAAAAAAAAAAAGAAAGAAAGAAAGTAACAGAGGTTGGGCTGCGGTGAACAGTCATATGGGTTCATTTTTCAGTTTCACGCACTTTGACAATCAATAGCAAACTATTCCCTAGGAAGCCCTTCTGGAATAAATGGAAGACACTGGTCTAATGACAGAAATGAGTTTCCACTGGGGGGATAAATATACAGATGACTCACACAGAACATATACAACACCACAATGTACACACATTACAATACATAGGATACATGTAATATCACAGTATATTCACATGACACACATCACAGGAAATAATAGAAAACTGCCTTTTTATGACTAGTACTTTTTGTACATGGTTCGTGAAAATGCCAGCTTCTCAGTGTGCAGAAGACCCAATAGCGAATTAACAATTTCATCCCGGTTCTCAATCAAGGAGCCCAAAAGGAGTGTTCTACCCCACAGCCCCAAGGAATAGTCTCGAATTCTGACCTATAAAGTTGATGTGTACACTTATGAGAGTTAGAGAATTAAACACACTGAGTCACGGAACAGAAAAGCAGACACGGAAGCTTCCATCAAGAAATCATGTAACATGTGTGAGTGCTGAAAGTCAGGTGACCATGCCTGCTTCACTGAACCTTGTATTCCCATTCTTGAGTCAAAATTCAAAAGTCATGTGCATCAACTCAATTTTTTTTGTTGGTATTCAAAGGATTTGAAAACCTATGATGTCTTACTTTTAGCAATAAAAATAAAGTCCAGGTTTCCCAAGATTTCCATCACCACGTCCCTGTAGAGTGTCTTCTGAGCATCATTCAGCAAATCCCACTCTTCCCGGCTGAAGAAAAGGACCACGTCGTCCAGCAAAAACGGTGCCTGAAACACACAAGGTATTCTGGATGAAGAAACACACAAGGTATTCTGGATGAAACACGGACCATGTCCCAAATGTGAGCGAGAACAAAGAAGGAGTCTCATATACATACAACATGACAAAATCGTATAGACATGACTAAAGTTCTATTTTCTTCCAACATCTACGCAAGGAATGAGTCTTGCGTCTTTTTCTTGACCTCAGTACCTTCGTTTTCTCACGGATTAAATCCGGACCATCAGAGTGACTACATAATGAACCAACCTGTAGATAGTTTCACTGTGAATATTTGTACACAGATTCTGTGTGCTAGAATACACAAATGCACAAAGCAAAGACATCTTGAATTTGGAACACGAGTCTGTTGAGTACAGTTCATCTCCTTTCGAAAAGATCTCTAAGAACAGTAAAGATAATATAAAGGACAGAGTGAAAGCAGGGTGATGTACTACCATCATGAAAACACTTCAGAAGGGGATTATTTTATTCTCTTAGACATACGAGAGTACCCAGGTTACACAGAAGCATGTGGCAATGCACAACCATGTTTATTGTGGCTTTGTTTGTTCATAGGAGCAAAGATCTGGAAATAACCTAAGTGATCATCAACAAATGAAGGGGTAGAGAAAGCAGTCACAATGGAATACTATGCTGCATTGAAAAACAAAGAATTTATGAAATAGTATTCAAAATGGATGACCATGGAGGACATCATACTCAGTGAGATATCTCAGTCACAAAAGGACAAATACTGCATAATGTCACAGTTATGAAACAGATTGCCTTGGTGGTTGGGGGAAGACAGAGAAGGAGGGGATTAATGCTGTATGTATACAGCTTTGAAACAGTTGAGAGAGAGAACTCATTAAAAGGGATCTATGTTCAGGTAGTAGTATTGTGACAAGAGTTCAGAATGAAAGCTGCAAAGTGAAGTGGACTTGGGGCGGGGGAATGGTATAACAATGAAAGAAGTTTTCTTCTCATTTTCAATGAGAAGAGCAAACTGGGTAGGGAGACGTGAGCAGGAAGAAAAATGGAACAATGAATGAATGGGAAGCCAAAGTCTCTGTAAATGTTTATTAAAATTAATAAAAATGATAAAAGAAATTTTGTCACACACACAAAAGAGTATATGACAACACAAATTCCCTCTTTTTTTCTTAAAGTAAAAAAAGGAACTATTCTCAAGTCAGCTGCTTCTCTAAGAGGGAAAATAATGCATAGAATTCACGGCATACATGTTATTCAAGGTTATAGAAGATAGTAAATTCACTCTTAAGACAGTCTTAACTTTCCATGGGATCAGAGGTTTCATACATTTAGATTTAATGCTGATATCTGGGGTATTGGTAATGTATAATAAGGACTAGAGCTCTGGTGGCCTAGTGGTAAGAAACAAAAAACAGAGGGTAAGAAAATGACAGACAAGATTCTACAGAGACATCGTCAGATTCTGATCAGGAGATTGTGTCATTCAACACAGAGAATCAAGGCCCAGGTTGTGCATCACAGGTCGTGGGGACAGATCTGGGGCCGTCTAAGGAGAGTCACCATATGCAGCCCTGTCATCAAAGAGCCTGGAGGATGAACGGGACGACTATTAAAGGAGCAGAGTTTGGTGCCTTCTAGGGTCATTCTGGGAGCCTCCTCCTCCACCTTTTCTCCTCACTGGGGAACCACAATCCTTCCCAAGGAAAAAGGGTTCCCAAGAATTTCCACCCAATGGCCACAACTCAAGGTTGAAAGACCTTGCTCCCTAGAACTCACCATTTTTTACTGCACCTTAAGCAGGCTGAACACAGGGTACAGTGGAAGGAGATGAATGATGTCTGGTCCACACTCCTTTTCACAGGGGCTCAAATCCTTCCTGGGGATTTACAGATTAAACCATCTGGGTCCTCTCCTTCCTCAGCTGTCTGGACTGGACACACCTGCACGGCACTTGGGATCTGAAATAAGAAAGTGAAGGGTAAACAGTGGTGATTTGGCAAACAGGAGAGAGAATTTTGGATTCATTCACGTGGCTTATGCTCTAGGGAGTAGCACGTGTAACCTCACAGTCAAGCCTTGGAAAAGTCGGATGCACATGAATTCGTCGGCAACTCTAAGGGAAAAATACAAGGCATCACGCTTGAACAGGCAGGAAATTGTTGGTCTGAAGACCTCTAGTTCTGCTCTCAGCAAAACTGATTTCAGGCCCAAATGTGGATCAAGACTGTGTGAGAAACAATATGGACAATCATAATGTACTCATTGAAATTGTGATTTTGTTTAAGCGTGTGAAAGCAGGCGACGAGGGATATATAAAGATGACAAAGCCCACATGTGAGTTCTATTGTGTTGGATGCTGGGGACGGAAATAACATTGTTTGGTACCAAAAAACATACTCTCTTCAAAATGGTCAAAGGTAGAGGAGTTGAAGCAAACATACTCTCTTCAAAATGGTCAAAGGTGGAGGAGTTGAAGCTTCAGTATTATCCACTAAGTTAATAGAAAACACTGGAAAACCAGTAATAAATACGGTTGCACAGCAAGGCTGCAGTCAATTGGCAAACGGTAAAAAAGGTGTCACATGAAATGAACCCTTGTTAAAACAGAATGGTTCAAAATACGGGAAGCAAGTCAGTTGTGAAGGGTGACATGTAGACAGGAAACTGGCTACTTCGAAGCTTTCATACCAACCTAAGGTTTTACCAACCAAGCAATGAAATCATTTTTTAATACAATCACATTGTCAAGGCAGTATGTAGTGCATTTATTTTAAAGTGGTTCCATGAACCCAGCGCTAACAAAGAAAAAGGAAACAAGTCTATTTAAATTACAATTTAAAAACGTGTAAATGACCTTCCAGCTGGTAACATGATTCTTTTCTCACTTCCAGAACCTTGTAACAACACAATACGAGTGGCTCTGGATATGGCAAGGGAATGTCAAGGCAGTTCATTCTGCTATCTGCTTTGATTTTTTGACAGACACTCTGTATCAGTACTGTAACCACTGTTAATATTACAAGCCTCTGACCTCCAGGGAAGAGACCATCTGGTACGTAAAACATCCAAAGGCCATCTGTGAGACCTATTGTCTCAAGAGACCATTGACCAACCAACCATGACATCCTCCATCGCTTTTGTGAATCCATGCACTTTATTTGGGAACTGTGCACTTGGTAAACATCTCTGGCCATCACTGGACACTACTCATGTGTGTCTGAGAGCTAGTTAACTGGGAGTGGGTCTGACATCAGTTGTGCATTTCAAATCTGTAAGGGTGCATTGCTGCAAGATGTTCATTCCATGTCTGTAAGAGTCATGATGAGAACTCTTATCTTTGCCTGTTGCACCAAGGTATGACAATCTTCTAGATATACACCTGTTGCCCAACTGTGCCTGCTCTCCTTTCTGTCAGACTTTAGATGAGGAGAAGGTGGATTGTATCTGATGACTCTATACCTGTTATCACATCTGAGGACCACACCTCTATTACCACTGTTCTTTAGTTGATGTACTTTTCAATAATCACTCAAAAGTCAGAACACCTACAACCAGGAGAAGATAACGTAGATGAATGGGATCTTCTAAGACTCAAATCCCTATGCACATCCAAAAACTTCTCCAACAGGGTAA